TGTTGGGCCCAAAACACAACACAAACAAAACAAAACTAAAAATAAAACTACTGAAAGTAGCCAACTTCTGTCACGATTTCCCGCTTCATCGCAATTCCCCTGGAAGCGTACTATATACCATTGGAAAGCTCTTGACTTCCTCTTTCAGGATCAAGAAACGGATCTCAATTCCGATTCCTGAGCAGAAAGCTATAGCTGTTCCAATATGTATCTGAAAACCAACAAAACTGAAAACATAAGCTTTACTCGAGGGAAAAACCCGGCTTTTCCAAGCCTATTCCCAACCAACATAAAAGCTCATTCCACATCGTCCTTCGTATAACCATGCGGGCAACAACAACATCCAACAACCGCATACAACGCATAAAACAAACAAACACATAAACATACGCATACATACAACATATATCCTGCAACATTATCGAACGTGTGCTTAACACACGAACCTTATCCAAACCTGCAAACATGCATTCTAGTTTACCCTGTAAACCTAGTTTACCCTGCAAGAACTAGGTCCCTGCAAGAACGTTAGTACGATCATATACACATAAAACCCTGCAAAACAATTACGTTAGACGAGCATATATGATTATAATTAATATAACCCTGAAAAATGTTAGTAAAACCTATAGAAAAGCATTTATATATATATAATCTGTAAAACAATTATAAAAGTCCTGCAACACATATATAAAGACAAAGCCCATAACACGAGCATAAAAGCATGCATATATATTGAAGAAATCGAGAGACGTTACACTCTTTAAGACTAATAATATTCAATGAATAATGTAGATTCTTTAACAATGCACCTTCTGCCAGCCTAAAACAGCACCTTGGTTTATATCTTCTGAAAGAGTGGACACATAGAACATTGATTGAATGTTGTATAGAATGAAATATTTCAGCATTGATTTGTTAGGGGTGCGCCAGGCCCTTGCAGCAGTACAAGGCAAGGGCGACGCTTGAGAGTCCCAACAGCAAGCTGTTGAGATGGACTCCCCTTAAGAGCAAAAATTATTTTAATATCGTGTGAGGCGATGCCCCACGTATCAG